CATCTTCAGTGATTTCTGAAAAGAATTTCTGCTGTTAGAATGCATGCTCGTGATAGATCACTCGGATTGTGCAGAGAAATCCAGGGCAGGATGGGACAGGGTCCCCTCCATGCAGCTCCCAGATAGAGGCTCCCCGCCTGCCTGGCGGCATCCCACCACCCAAACAACCACTGCTAGCATTTCGGTGTCTTTTCTTCTGTTTTTTGTCCATGCACCTATATACATATGTTAAAAATTTTTTTCTATGCATACTTTTTTGCATATGACATCGGATCAAATTTAGTATTTAAAAACTTACGGTAGAATAAGCATTTCTGTATATTGTAAAATATTGTGTAAATATGGCTTTTGAGAGGGCTTTGGGGTTTACTTTGTGATATTTGATTCAGCTAGCGTTGTTGTGATAAAGAGGTGATGTTAGAGAGATAAATAAATAAATAAATAAAGGTGCCCCGGGAGGGACTTCCCTGGGGGTCCAGTGGTAAAGATTCTGCCTTCCAATGCAGGGGACGTGGGTTCGATCCCTGGTTGGGGAACTAAGATCCCACATGCCGCAGAACAACTAAGCCCGCGTGCCACGAGAGAGGCTGCGTGCCACCAAGTACAGAGCCCACGCGCCACAACTAGAGAGAGAAAACCCTGCATGCCACAACTAGAGAGAAGCCCGAGCATCACAACGAAAGATCCCGCATTCCTCAACTAAGACCCGATGCAGCCCCCCCAAATTAATTAATTAAATACATAAATATTTTAAAATAAGTAAATAAAATAAAAGGTGCCCCGGGAAAAGCAAGGTGGGAGCTCGTGATGGAAATCCTAAGTCCGGTCCTTACCTAATGTCCAGTGTGTGGGCAGGGCTATCACACCATGAGAGGCCCGGGCACAACCTCAGAACGAGGCTGTGCTCTCACCACTGGGGCCCCCACCGCAGCCCTGCGATCAAGGGCCAGGCTGTGGGCCCAGGGCTCCCCTCACCGGTGGAGCCCCACAGAGCCCGAGAAGTGTTGCCACAGGGTTGACAACCTGCGATCCCGCAGGGTGCCTAGGAGACCCCATCCCTCCTGGGCCCCAGGCAGGGGTCTTGGCTCTGCGGCCTTCTCCTGTGGTGGGGGACAAGTGCCTGGGGGCGAGCGTAGCCTCTGGAAGGCCTGGGTGGCAGCAAGCCAGGCACTACCTGTCGGTTGTTATGGTCACAATCCCGCTGCGAAGTGAGGACCTAGAGGGGCACAGCAGGCACGGAGTGGCCTGCACAGCTGGAGCCCGAGTGGGCACCATGGCCATGGGCACCCCTGAAGGCCACGCTGCAGGCCCGCCACCCCGGACAGCGTGGGCCAGCCGGCATCCAGGGGTCGAGCGTAGCTGAGCTGCAGTGCCACGAGGCCTGGTGGGAACTCGTGGGCCCTGCCCTGGGGCAGGTCCAGCATCAGTGAGCTCGAGGGAACGGCGGGGTGTGGGGGGCACCTGCTGGGGTGGGGCGGGGTGGGGAAGGCGGCATGCAGCAGAAGGACCCACGGCCTGGTCAACTCTGCCTCGGGGTCCACTTGGTGGCCTTGGGAGCCCCTCGCCCTCCAGGCCTGTTTTCCTACTGAAAACGGGGTTGGAGTGAACCCTGTGTCAGGGCCCTTGTAGTGTGAGGGTCCACGGGGGCAGCAGGAGAAACAGGCACTTAGCCAACAGTGAGGTGATTTATTCTTACATAGCCTCCTGGCCAGGGGCAGAGGTGGGCAGGCTGGGGGGAGGGGGGAGGGGCTGTGGCGGCCCAGGGCTGGTGGGGCAGCATGGAGATGGACAGTTACTTTGTCTCAAGCCTGGGCCTGTTTCCACGGCACCCAAGACAGTGGCGGAGAACTTGTAGCCCAGCTTCCAGGTCCCCGGGGCAGGGCCGCCCACCTGGCTGACCTGGTCCTTGTCTCCTGTGCCCTGGGGGCACCCCAGACAGGGCACAGCCCACCATGGGCCGTGGGAGAAGCAGATGGCCGTGGCTCCAGGTGTGTACCCCTAGGGAGCCCTAGGAGGGCACAGCTCTGGGTGGTGAGCCAGGTGAGGAAGAAGAGAGAGCAGCTGGAGAGGGGAGGGGGCTGCAGGCTGCCCGCCCTCCTCCCTCCCTGTCCGCCATCCTGACCCTCCAACGCCTCTGTGACCTGGGTGGGCCGTGTGCAGGGGGAGGGGGCAGGCTGTCCGGACAGGGACGCACCTGTTCTGCCAAGTCCCCATTTACAGAAGGTGTCCCCAGGGCCGCCCAGGTGGTTGGGAACATCTGCCGCCTCTGCCCTGGCACAGCTGTGCCTGAGAGCCTGGGTGGGCAGAGGCGGTGGAGGCAGGTGGAAGCCTCTCTGCCTCTGGTCAGAGGAGAGATCGGCCCCAGAGACGTCAGTGGAAAGGGGAGCTCAGCTCAGAGACCCAGACCAGGAGAGGGGCCGCGGACTGGGGGGCCAGGAACCACCCGTCATCCGGGCTTTGCATCCATCGGCGGTGTGGGCCCGGCCTGGGGTCTCCATAGGGACCCCTCCCCAGCTAGAAACCAGGTCTGGGGCAGGCGGGGAACACCTGTGGAGCGGCTACAGGGCCTGGGGGGCTCCGCAGGATCGGAAGGCTGAAGTGGGAGAGGGGCTGGGTTGGGAGCGCGGAGGGAGGGGCAGGGCCCAGGCGGTTGCTCTCTGAGCAGAGGGCCGGGTTGCCACACACCGTACAGGTGTCCCGGCAGACAGCAGAGCCCTCAGAGCCCGCATCTAAACAGGGGGGTGGGGCAGGAACCGTTGGCCTGAGGGAAGTGAAACAATGAATCGGTACCTCCCCCCCCCACCCCGCCCCCTCCTGGGTCTTCGGAGGCTGGCATGCGGATGGCTCCTCTGCTCACGCACTCCCTGGTTCATTCGTCCATGAGCGCTCGACGTGCGGGGTGGGCGGGAGGCGCCGCGTGTTCCTCTCAGGGGACAGGGCCGCGACCTCCCGCCATCTGCCGGTGATTTTGTCGAACTATTTTTTTTTAATATTTATTTATTTATTTGGCTGCACCGGGTCTTAGTTGCAACATTCGGACTCAGCTGCGGTGTGCGGGATCTAGTTCCCTGACCAGGGATGGGACCCGGGCCCCCTGCACTGGGAATGCAGTCTTAGCCACCACTGGACCACCAGGGAAGTCCCTGTCAAACTATTTTTAAGCCAAAAACCTCTTTCCAAGCAAAACTTCATGGAAACTCCGTGTCCAAGAGAAAAAAGCCAGGGCTGTTCTGCTTAAATCAGCGGGCCTGGGGGCACAACCCACCTTTGCCCACCCCTGGTCACCCGGGAGCCCCCGTTTCACAGCTGTGAGGCCAGGGCTAGTGGGGCAGCAGTGGGGACCTGGGAGGCCAAGGAGGATGCTGGCCAGAACCTGACACCACCCCCCGACCCGGCGCCGGCCCCAGCGCCCTACCCCCGGTCCTGTCCTACAGGTCTCGCAGCCGGGGCTGGAGCTGCCGGGCCTGGGGCTCGGGTCCAGGTCCAGGCAACAGGCCACACACTGAGCGAACGGAGCTCACAGCCTTCATGGCCCAGGAGGGACAGAGGAACAGCTGAGAGCCTGGGGTGGGCTCAGTGACCGCTTACCAGCAGGGCTGGTTCTGAGGCACCCAGGACCCCACGTGGCCACAAAGCAGGGGTGGGCAACCCCTCTGTCCCCTTAACAAACCTTCTGCTTTAGGAGGGGACTTGGTGGCTCCAAGTCCAGCCCAGGCCAACTGACCACCGAGAGGTCCACTGGCTGGGCCAGGTGTAGCATGAGCTCCTGAAGTCACCAGGAACCCGGGATCCAGGGTGGCACTGCTGTGCTGGGGTGTCCTGACCTAGTGTCAGGTGGGGGTCAGGTTGGGGAGGGAGTCAGGTGGCTGAGGGGAGGGCAGTGGCCTCAGCCCAGCTCGGCAGGAGGCAGTGGGTGGAGGGGAGGTAGGGGGCCTGGGTCCGCTCTGTGCAAGCGCGGCTGGGCCCTGGGCAGCTTCATCCAGCACCCATGAGCCAGGTGTAAATGTGGCCGACAGGTATCAGGTGTAAATGGGACAGCAGACTGTACCTGGGCCCCGGGGGGAGAGTCCCCTCCCCTTAGGTCTCCAAGGATGCTCACAGGTTGGATTACTACACCTGGGGGTCCTCAGCCCAGGAACCCAGGGCCCCCACTCCCCCACCACCTGGTCAGAGAGAAGCAACTGCTCCCCTCCCAAGCCCATGGGTCTCCACGGCTGCCAGCCTCGCTCTACGGTAAAAGGACCAGAGGGTCCCTTCCCTAGAATTCCCATTCTGGTATCTCAGCCAGCGCACAGAGCAGCTCCCCAGACACACGTGGGCATGTGGACAGGTGGACACACGCACACACACAGGGCCGCTTCCTGGCCTGGTCCCCAGAGCCAGCCAGAGGCCCTGCGGCCAGCTGCATTACGGCAGCCCGGAAGGACCCATAAGGTCACTTTTTGTCAGTTTTTGCAGCAGGCGTCGGCATGCTGCCCCCATCTGTGGACCAGGACCTTCTCCATTTTCCCCAGGGGTTGGCGCATTTCACACACACATGCAAACGTGTGCACATTCACACCCAGGTCACATATGCGAACACACACTCACACGCACGCAAACAGGTGCACAGGCAGCATAATGGCTGTGAAAGTGACTGCGTCCTTCTTCGCAAAATCGGGCTCAGGGGGCTTCCTGCAGCGGGGGGCCACCTGCATCTCGGTGGCCCAGCCAGGGCTTCGTGCACGCCAAGGGCAGGAGAGGGCAGGACAGTGCCTTCCGGGGTTTGCCGAAGCCAGGCCAGGCCCCTGTGCACTGTGTCCCCCCGATCCTGCGTGCAGAGCCTGGTGGCCGGAGCCCACTCGCTCCCCAGGAATCAGCCAGACCTCGGCCGTGCACGGCGGCCCACCCGACGCCCAGCCTCTACTGAAGCACAGCTGCGCAGTGTCTGCCTGAGTTTATTTCGGAAAAGCAAAGAATCGAACAAAGGCTTTTGGAGAATAAATATCTGTGGAGAGAAGGTCAGCTTAGGAGGCGAGGAAGCTCAGCGGGGCAGGAGAGGCGCTGTACGGACGGTGGAGGCGGGGCCTGGGTGGCCGAGCGCGCCCCACTCACCCCCGCCCCGGGCCCAGGTCCCTGAGGCCAGAGCGCCGGGCCCTGCGCCAGGGGGGCAGCTCGCACATGGTGTCCTGGCACAGACAGCTGTCGATGTGGGTGTAGGTGTGGCGGAGCAAGTGCCCGCCCGGGCACTGCAGCATCACCTCCCGCTGGCTGGTGCGCTGCTGCTTGCAACAGGAGCACCTGTGGTCCAGGGACTGGGCCTCGGCCGAGTACCTGCAGAGCAGCCGGGGTGAGGCGCCACTGTCTGCTGGCGCGGATGCAGCCCCCGCCCCCCCCCGCCGCCCCCACCAGGGCCACTCGCGGCCTGGGCCTCACATGGCAAAGGTCCCGCAGGACCCCCCCCGCCGCCCCCACCAGGGCCACTCGCGGCCTGGGCCTCACATGGCGAAGGTCCCGCAGGATCCCCCCCGCCACCCCCACCAGGGCCACTCGCGGCCTGGGCCTCACATGGCGAAGGTCCCGCAGGACCCGGAGCAGTCGTTCATGGTGACCAGCTTGGCGCAGCCGTTGTGCGAAATTTTCCTGACGACAGGGACAGTGGAGCAGGGGACCCTGGTCTCATTGCGAGGGAGGCCTGGGGAGAGGGGGCAGAGGCTCGGGGGGTCTCCACCATCCAGGGCCCTCTCACTCCCCCTCACTGCTTCCTCTCCCCTCCCCAAGCACCCCACCTCGGCCGCCCTCAAGCAAGCTGAGCTCTGTCCTGCTTCTCAGGAAGGGGTTCAGGCTTCCTGGGCAGCCCAGGTGACGCCTTCGAGCTCAGCGTCCAGCTGAGAGTGGCGCAGAGGGGACGGGATTCCCGGGGCACCATCCCCTCGTGCTGTCCTCCCTTCAAGGGGCCCGGGTGGAGCCCACTGCCAGGCCGCCGCGCCCCGTGCCCCAGGAGCCACCCGCCCGAACTCACATTTCCTGCAGCAGCCATTGGGCATGAGTGTGATGGAGCCCTGGCGGGAAGGAGAAAGAGCTGGGACTCGCAGGCCTCCCCGAGCAGTGACAGCCCCCCTCTTGCCACGGGGGTGCAAGCGGCCGTTCCTGCATAAGGGCCCACAGCAGACCCTCCAGGCTGGAGGCTGCTGTCCTGGTGCTGGAGGTCCAGCCGCTCAGGAACATCGGGGACCCGCACTCCCAGCAGTGATGGGCCTGCTCACCGGGAGACAGGTGCTGGGGTCAAAGTCGGGGCAGGTGATGCTGGAGACGGATGAGATGAACTGGCCATGTATCTTCATGCAGCTGAAGAAGGTACAGTTGTTCAGGGGGTCTCTCTTCATGTCGCCGGGCTGTGGGGCAGAGGAGGGTCTGTGGGAGGCCTGGCAGGAGTCCCACCCAGAAAGGCAACTGGAGACACCTGGCAGCTCCCCGGACACCCTGCCGAGTGCAGCCCACAGGCCCGGGGCCACCAGGCCGGCGGCACCCAGGAGGGGCCCAGGGACGGGTCCACAACCTAACCCGCACATCCCGCAGAGGTGACCTGATCTGGAAAGGGTGTCTTTCAGAGGGAGCTGAATTAAAGATCTCCAGGTGAGACCATCCTGGATTACCCGGGGCGTGGGGGAGGAACAGGGGGCCAAAATCCCATGGCAGGTGTCCTGATAAGAGACAGGACGTGTACAGCCTTGCAGCCCCGGGGGAGACTCAGCCTTGCCCCGGGCGGGGAAGGACAGGCGTGCGCACCTTCAGGACCACGACCTGGCTGCCGGGCCGGTTGATGACGATGCACTGGGTCTGCTGACACTTCTTGCAACACTCGCCGGGGGCGTCCACCAGCTCAAAGCCCTGCAGGACACCCGGGCGGGCTGGCATCGAAAGAGGAAGGGCTGCGCGGGGACGGCGGTGGGCGGGCCGCACTTGTCTGGGCAGGGGGTGCTTACGGGGTTGCAGGAGGTGTTGCAAGGCACGTGGGTGCAGGAGATGATGTTGAGCTGAGTGGCGTTGTCCCTGCCTTCGGTGCACGTGCAGTTCTGGCACTTGGAAGAGAAGACTGGAGAACCGGGCTTCGGGCACAGGGAGGGCAGGTGAGGCGGGGCCTCCAAGGCACCTCCCCTCCTCCAGGGCACCGCCCCCCATCACCAGCAGGTGAGCTGGGTGCCCCAGGGGCCGAGAGCCCCCAGAGCAGGGCCCCTCACCGGGCCAGCCAAGAGCCTGCCAAACCCCATGCCCCGAAGCCCTCTGTGCACCCGGCCCCGCTCCCCGCAGCCCGTCAGGGCTCACCTGGTACTCAGCGTTCCGGAGAACACACACGCCCTTGGGCACTTGGGGGGAAGAAGAGGAACGAAGGTCAGACTGTCCTGCCTGAGCCCACGTGGACGCAGAGCCAGCGGACTGGGCTGGGTGCATCCGCTGGGCAGAACTTGAGCCCCCAGGCAGGGGCCACTTCAGCCCCACCCCCCCCACCTCCCCATCCCCCCATCACACCGCTGCCCAGCCCCAGCCCGGCTGCCCGGCCTAGACCTCCTTCATCCCCCACCCTGGCCCACCTACCACACGAGTAGAAGGGGCAGCACCTCCCAGGGACCATTTTGCTCTTCACCTCGAAGCCCAGTGGGCACGGCGGGGGGTTCTCCCTGCACAGGATGGCATTGCATTCTGAAAACGGGGGAGATGCCCCAGTGAGCACGGCTGCTAGCTGGCCGAGCCCCGATGCCACCCTGCACAGGGCTGGGGCCTGCAGCAGAGGGACCCGGGGTCTGGACCCCCGTGGCCCCACCGACGCCCACTCTCCTGCGGACACGCCCTGAGGCCCCCACCTCCAGAAACCACAGCAGGGCCAGGCCCGCTCCCTGCCCCGCGGGCGCCTTACTGCAAGAGGTGATGTTGCAACAGATGTTGGCGGGGTCGACCTCTGTGACAGGGTAGGTGCCGTTCTCCTTGCACTCCATGCGGGGCCTGGGGTGGCATGTCTTGGGCCTGCAGACGATGCCGCTGCCCCCCTCCAGGCAGATGCAGTCCTTGCAGTCGAACTCAAAGTGCTCCCCAAACTGCAGGGAGGAGGGGCGAACAGGGGGAGAGCGGGCGCCGGTCAGCCCGAGGCCGCGCTGCACCCGGCGGCCTGCGGGAAAGCCCGCGCCCTCCCTGCTCTGAGCGCACAGGGCAGGTTCTGGGCCAGGACACTCACATCACAACCGAGACCTGCTCACCAGCGTGTGCACACACAGGGCTGGTGCGGGGCAGACATGCCACGTGCCTCTGTGGGGCTCACACAGCGTGGAGCTAAAGAGCCAACCACGCGCAGGAGACACACTCAACACTGCAGACGCCGCCGCAGGTGTAGACAGAGCATGAAATGGCTAGTGGGTGGATCCCCCTGCTAGCTCAGCCTTCCAGGACTTAAATCACTCATTACTCATTATAGCCTCCAAGGGTCCCAGGTTCTCATTCCAACCCATCCCACCTCCCAAAATGCAGGGCTCGTGGGAGTGTCCAGTCCCAGCACCAAGGGTGTTGGCCTACCTCTCTGGGCACGTTGTCGGGCCCCACGCAGCCTAGGAAGGAAGGAGACAGGCCCCGTGAGCACAGCCCTGTGAGCACAGCCCCAGCATGTGGGAGCTGGCCTCAGCCCCAGGGAGGAGTAGCGGCCTCTGGCAGGCAGCCTACCGCACAGGTCCACGCAGACGTCGAAGCCGGGCGCGTAGCTGGTGGTGCCCTTGGGACAGAAGCAGCCTTCCGCCAGGCGTGGGCTGTTTGCCTGGGTGGGGCTGGGGGGAGAGCATCATGAGACGGCGAGGGGACAGACTGGACGACCAGCCCCGACACACCGGCCAGGAGCACGGTCAGAGGGACAGCCTACCGCCCCGACGCATCCACGGTGACTGACCTGGACTTGCAGGTGGGCTCCTCCACGGGACCACAGGCCCGGTACTCGCGGTGCGCCGGGCACGTCACCACTGTGGGGAGGGGGCAGGAACCAGAGTCAGAGGGGGAAAGCCTGTGTCCCCCACCCTAACCCCCAAGTGACATCGTGCCCAACCCCTCCCAAACAGGACCCCACACACCCGCACGGGCTGAGCGTGGCCTCAGCCCCCCACGCTGTCCCGAGCCAGGAGGAGGGGGCCCAGCCCGCCGGGTGCTGAGCAAGGCCGCTCTTCTGGTGGCCTGTCCCCCCACCCCAGTCTGGCTCCCGGCACAGCGCCCAGCAGAGCCCAGGACGGGGCGGGCAGGCACTCACAACAGGCCCCGCCAGTGTGGCTCCGCCAGTCGACACAGATGCCCTTCTGGGCACAGAGGGCTGCATAGGCCTGCAGGCTGGCACACTCCAGGCTTGAGTCGGGCGCAGTGAAGCTGTCGAATATGCAGCCTTCGTAGTAGTGCTTGGGGGATGCCACAGTGTGGCACCGGGCGAACAAGCTGCGGGTGGAGGGCTGCAGGTCACGGTCTGGCCAGTGCCCCAGCCTCTCTCACAATACCCCCTGCCCAGCACCTCCACCTGGGCTGTCCCCCAGGGCCCGGCTCAGCCTGCACCACCAGACAGGTGCCCGTGGGCTGAGGGTGGGAGCAGAGCGGCCGGGCTGGCCTTGGGGTAGGGGGGCCAGCACTGTGGCCCGAGGATGAGACGCTGTGCTCAGGCCCAGAGATGGAAGCTTCGTGTCTAAACAGCCACGGGGTGCCAAGACCCCCCTCCAGCAACACCAGCAGGGAACCTCTCAGCCCCGACTCGCCCACCTCTGGGGACAAGCTGCTCGCTCCCAGGGATGCCAGCTTTGGGAGCGCCCCCTCTCTGTCTAAGCCCAAATACCCCTCCCCAGCATCAGTCCTGGATGCGAACTCTGTCCCGAGTCAACTAGTCTCTACCCAGGATTCAAGCCCAACCGCCCCTGCACCAGCCCAGGAGGCAGGAGAGATGGGAGGGTCACAAAGGGCACAGGGATGCCTTACGGGCCACTCAGCCCCATGGAAATCAGGAGCCCGAGTCCTGGGCCCCACTGGATCACCTGTCCTTGATGAGCTCGCAGAGCGGAGACGGAGAGCGTGTCCCGGTGGTTGTGCTGCTGCCCACCGATGGCCAGGCGGCCGGGCGCTCGGTGGTGAAGCCCCTGTGGGGACACTGCGGCTCCGAGGGGTCGTTCACCACCCAGTGGCCAGCCGCGACCTCGCAGTTGGCGGCGGCCTCCCCACCGGGCAGCGTGCAGTCATCCGAGGTGCTGTTGGTGCACGTACCTGTGTCGGCAGGAAGGCCACGCGTCCCTGAGCCGAGCCCAGCCGTCCAGCAGGCTGGGCAAAGCCCCAGGACCCAGCCCCTCCCAGCCCAGGTCCCTGGCCGGCTGGCCGGGGCCAAGGGCACAGACTAGACTAGGCTCCTATTGGCTTCCCACAGGAGCCCAACCCAGATAAGGCGGTGGGGGCCTGCACGGCGCTGAGAACCACAGCCGCGGGGGCAGGCGCCCGCAGCCAGCCGCAGCCCGGACACCCTCCCTGGGGCAGCGCACGGGGGGCGAGAGGCTCACCACACTGGCCCTTCGTGTTGTTGCCGAACCGGTGGTAGGGCAGCCGGATGGAGAAGGAAAGGCTGTCGTAGGAGATGAGGGCACCCAGCTCAGGGATGTCCACCACATAGTTGATGCCTGACTGGTACACCTGCAGCCCGTACTTTTTATAGGGCAGCGCCACGGCCTGCCTGTTGACCTGCACCTGTGGCCGAGACATCTGGGGTCAGGGAAGGCCAGCAGGGTGGGACGAGCTGTGCCTCCGGAGGCACCTGGGGTCACCCTACCCCCGCCTGTCCTCAGGCTGAGCACCCAGTGCGGGGATCTCTGCCCGTCCCTCTCCCCCTTCCCTCTTCTTTCCATCGCGCTGATCCTTGTCCTGACTCGTCTCAGGGGCAAGGTGGCAGGGCCTCTGTCCTCAGAGTCCCCCGGAGACCTGGGGGCCCCCGTGCAGGGGGTAGGACTCCCCGGGCCACGGGAACCAACAACACCGTGCAGTGTGTTCAGGGCCCCTCCCCACTCACCCCTGTCCTCAGGGAGGGGGCTTCTGCCACAGAGACCTGTGCCCAGGGTAGGTGGCAGGGGCATGAGAGGGGGAGGTCAAGAGGTCCCTGAATGCCTCCAGAGGGCCAGACACAGAAATGTGTCCGCTGAGCGCCGCCCTGCCCTCTCCAAGCCTGGCTCTGGGGGAGGAAGCCCAGCCTCCCACCGGCTAAGGGAGCCCGCATCAGTGCGCCCCGCCATAGACACCCTTCCCCAGCCAACGTGCCTGCACCCTCATGGGCATCGTGTGCACGGCCTTGATCAGAACCTCCTGGGTCTCATGGCGCACGATGAGCGCGTGGGGGCAGGACGCTTGGCTGTTGATGTCACAGTGCTGGTTGTCGATGTAGACCCCGAAGTTGTCCATAGTGGGAGTGATCTCCTCCACCAGCACGTACGTGCAGTTGCCCTTGTAGCTGTAGTAGAGCCCATCGAAGGTGACGTAGTGCGGGTCCCCCCAGCCCGTGCAGTAGCCTGCAGAGGGAGCTGGGGTGAGCCAGTGCCGAGCCATGGGCTGGGGGCTGGGACAGGGACAGGGTCAAGGACAGGGACCAAGGGTCAAGGGTCAGGTGGGAAGGGCAAGCAGAAACTGAGGGAAGCCCCGAAGTCTGGTTCCTGGGGCACGTGGGACATCTGGGCCCCAAGAGTGCCTTCCGCACTCAGCCCGCAGTGGCCAGGCCTCGGTTCCAACTCCAGCTCTGCCCCACCCCCACCCCAGGCCCCTCGGCAGTGGCCATACTCTACCAGGCAAGACCCTCCCTCCCCCCGGGCCCCTGGCCTGAGATGGGGAATAAGCAGGAGGCATGAGAAATTGCTCCAAACGTGGGCCTGACTCTCCGCGGGTGCTCAGCCATCAAAGCCATCACGACAGCCTGGGGTCTGCAGCTCCCACACACACAGTGGGGAGCAGGTGGGGTGGGTCTCTGTGGCGTCGGGCTTACAGTCACACTCCCAGTGCCAGCAGCACTTGTCGGGGTCCTCGACGCGCACAGGCATGAGGCCGTTGGAGCAGGTGGGCATGGGTGGGGGGTCGCACTTCACCTCCACGAGCTCCACGGTGTTGTTGTACTTGCAGATGGCCATGGTGCAGTTACACAGCCACCAGGTCTCGTTCTCCTGCAGGTGGGGAGGGCACAGGGTCAGCGGCACCAGCCTGGCGCCCAGGTTCACACAGGAGGGGTGGGCCGTGCAGGCGAGACCCCAGGTGAGCACCTAAGAGCCCTGCCCAGGAGGCTGAAGGCGAAGGGCAACCCCGTCCAGGAGGGCAGCCAGCCACCTCACTACAGCAAGGGGCGTGTGGGAGAGAAGGTAGGAGGGCCACAGCAGACCCTGAGCCCAGCAAGCTGCCTAAAGCCTTCGCCCAACTGGGGATGTGGGGCATAGGGGCAGGGGCATAACCAGCAGAAAGGTAGCACCTGGGGCTTTGGATGCCCAGATAGTGGGGGGGGGTGTGCCCAAGGGGACAAAAGCCACCCACAGACACAGACCTGTCTGGGAGGATCGAAGTCCAGGCACGCAGGGGGCTTGGTGGTGGGCGGCACACTGGATGTCATGGATGGCTGGGTGGTGGGTGTGGATGGGCAGGACCAGTTGAAGATCTCAAGTGTGCAGTCCAGCGAGCAGTTCACGTAATAGCAGGTGTCCCCATGTGTGCTATTGTACACCAGCTCACCTGCAAGGGGAAAGACCCAGTCCTTACCCCATCCACACAGGGCTGGCCACCAGAGTACCCAGGCGGGTCCCCACAGAGGCCACGAGAGAGAAGTCCACACCACCCTCACTCAGTCCTGATTTGTGGTGGCAGCACACGGGGCTGGCCGTGGAGACATCCGCCCGTGCTGGCATCCAGCTTCCCAAGCAAGCGCCCAGTTTAGACCTTCAACTGACCCCTGGGCGCTGGGAACGCAAAGTCCCACCAGCCTGCATTGCCTGAGTCAGAATGAAAAGCTTGGGTACCTGGGGCATAGTACGTTTCATTGAAATAGCAGCATTCCCTCTGGGGCTTGGTGGTGACTGAGACGATGCTCGTGGTGATGTTGGGTGAGGTTAATGGGATCACCGTGGGGGTGGTCACACTGGAGGTCAAGGTGCTGGTGGTCTGTGGCGTGGGTGGCATGGTCGACGAGTGTCCTATTGGTGTGGAAGTTCCCGTGGAAGTCGTTGACACAGTCGCGGGAGTGGGTGTGGGTGTGGAAGGGGGGCCTGTGGTGGATGAAGGGGGCCCAGTCGTGGTTCCACGGGTGGGAGTGGTCTTCGAGGAGGTGGGACCCGAGGCTGGCGAGCCTGTAAGAATGGAGGGTGCAGTCAGGGCTGTGGGCGTCCACCCATCGCAGATGCACAGGCGGCCTGGCGGCAAGTGCGTGTGGGCAGCTCACTCAAAGGACCTGGTACCTGGCGTGGGAGGCCTCACATCCATTTCCCCAGCCCTCAGTCTCAGGGTTGAGCAGAGTGTCAGGGCCCACAGTCTATGGTGTATGTAACAGGGAGGCCACGGGGGTGAGGCACCAGCTCCAGGCAGCACGAGAGCCACAGGACATTGGTCCATCAAGAGAGGCTGACCAGCTGCCCTCCAAAGCCCCAGGGGAGAAGTGCAGCTGGAAGAGGGGGGACAGAGGGAGGGTCTCCCATGGCACCTGACTGGCAGCCTCTACTCCCCATGAGGCCACACATGCCTCGGTGGTCTTCCCTCAGGATGGGTTTGCCCACGTAGCCCATCTTACAGCCATAGGCTGAGGGATGTGGGCCACAGGCAGCCATGCCCAAGGAGAGACGTACTGTGGGGTCAGCAGCTCCCTGAACACTCAGCATCGGGACTTGGGGGGCAGGAGAGGCAGGCGAGCCCTCCTGGAGCCTTCTTGGGGACCGCTCTCACTGGGTAGGGTGGGGGGCACCTGTCTCAAGACCCAAGAGTTGTAAAGCTCCCCTGGCGGGAGAAGGAACGGTAAGCGCATCACCAATAACCACGCAAGTTCCATGGTCTCTGTGTACCTGGAGGGGTGGGGCCAGGTGTAGGTGGAGAGGGCGTGGTTCCTCCTGTTGTAGTGATGGCTGATTCTGTCGACGCTGGGGTCTGTGGTGTGCTATATGTCTCCACAATTGTTGGGGTGGTCGTCACAAGCGTGGTAGATTCCATGGAAGAGGGATAGGTGGACTGGGAGATTGGAGGGGAAGACGTAGGAAGAGATTTTGATGTGCTGCTGGTAGTGCTAATGTTGGGAAGTGGGGTTGGAGTCTCTGTGGATGTGGCAGTGGTCGGGGAGGGGATTTCTGCGGTGGTGGACGCTGGAGTTGGGGTCTCTGTTATGGTGGGTGTAGGTGTTGGAGTCTCGGTGGAGGTGGTGCTAATGGTGAGGGTCGGAGTTGGAGTCACTGTGGAGGTGGTGGTCAGTGGTGGTGTTGGGGTCACTGTGGTGGTGGTTATTGGTGTTGGGGTCTCTGTGGTTGTGACAGTAGTGGGGATTGTCTCTGTAGTGGTGGTGGTCGGAGTTGGAGTCCCAGTTGAAGTGGTGGTGGGTGTTGTGGTTGGGGTCTCTGTAGTGGTCGGAGTTGGAATCGTTGTTGTGGCTGTTGTGGGGGTCGGGGTTGGAGTCCCAGTTGAAGTGGTGATGGATGTTGTGCTTGGGGTCTCTGTAGTGGTTGGAGTTGGAATCTCTGTTGTGGTTGTGCTGGGGGTCGCAGTTGGAGTCCCAGTTGAAGTGGTGGTGGGTGTTGTGGTTGGGGTCTCTGTAGTGGTCGGAGTTGGAATCTCTGTTGTGGTTGTGCTGAGGGTCATAGTTGGAGTCCCACTTGAAGTGGTGGTAGGKGTTGTGSTTGGGRTCTCACTAGTGGTCSGAGTTGGAGTCCCTATTGTGGTTGTGGTGGGGGTTGGAGTCGGAGTCCCAGTTGAAGTGGTGGTGGGTCCTGTGGTTGGGGTCTCTGTAGTGGTCGGAGTTGGAATCTCTGTTGTGGTTGTGGTGCGGGTCGCAGTTGGAGTCCCAGTTGAAGTGGTGGTGGGTGTTGTGGTTGGGGTCTCTGTAGTGGTCGGAGTTGGAATCTCTGTTGTGGTTGTGGTGGGGGTCGGACTTGGAGTCCCAGTTGAAGTGGTGCTGGGTGTTGTGCTTGGGGTCTCACTAGTGGTCCGAGTTGGAGTCCCTATTGTGGTTGTGGTGGGGGTTGGAGACGGAGTCCCAGTTGAAGTGGTGGTGGGTGTTGTGCTTGGGGTCTCTGTAGTGGTCGGAGTTGGAATCTCTGTTGTGGTTGTGNTGCGGGTCGCAGTTGGAGTCCCAGTTGAAGTGGTGGTGGGTGTTGTGGTTGGGGTCTCTGTAGTGGTCGGAGTTGGAATCTCTGTTGTGGTTGTGGTGGGGGTCAGAGTTGGAGTCCCAGTTAAAGTGGTGGTGGGCGTCGTGATCAGGTTTGTGCGACACTCATCTGTCAGCAGGCAACAATAGACGCGTATCTCGTAGTCATAGCAGACTTCAAAAGGTCCTTTTCCAAACTGGTCTTTGTTCTTGCAGATGAACCCGAAGGATACATTGCACTGAGCCTCCTGGCCCAGATCCTCCCACCTGAGGTGCGGCTGTACGGCCACCCTGCACTCGATATCCTTGGGGGCCCTGCAGACATGGTTGAATGTCTCTCGGTCTCCACCATCACTGCCGATTCTGGGATGGTCATCGTTGATCCAGTCGGACCAGGAGCAGCATAGCCCTAGGCGAGCAAGACGCAGCGCTGGTCAGCCAGGCTGGGGCGCGCCTTTCGGGAGATCTGTGGGACTCGGAGAACCGATACCCCCGGGACCAGCTGTCCCCATCATCACCCAAGGGCGCAGTGTTGGCTCTGAGGCTCTAAGCTGAGCCCTAACTTCCACCCTCCACTTCTCCCCTCCTTCTGCAGCTAAAAACCCAAGACCCCAATGCCATGCCAGTGACAGACCCAGGCCTCAGAGCGCCAGCCTAGCACCCCTTCCTCAGCTACTTTCAAATCCTTATGCCAAACAAATAAATAAGGAAAGGGCCACCCAGTCCAGCGAAGAAGCACGCCGGCAGGGACTTGGTATGGACTCTTGACCAATGTTTTCACCCTGAGCTGGTCAGGTCCCCTGCACGTGTCCCTGGGCTCAGCAAATCGGGAATCGAGTCACCAAAATACAGCATCTTCGGTCCGCGAGCCGCTGGTCCAGCCCACCCAGCCCAGCCCCGTGTCTGGGTCTCGAGGGAGGCGCCCAGCAGCTTTCTGCAGGTCCTCGCCCTGTATCATTGGGAACGCCGTCAACGTGACTTACTCTGAGTTGTTGAAGAGGGAGATGGCACTGCAGTAAAAGGGGGGGAAAAGAGAATGTCATTCTATAGCTTTGAGGTTTTTCAAACCTTTTAATTTTACCAGTTTCTTTTCCCGGTGGCTGGCGGCTGGCGGCTCGTTCAGCGCGAGCTGCAATTTCAGCCCGAGCAAATGCACGGGGACTAGAGGGTGTCTCTCTGCCTCCTCTGACCCTTAGGGGTAGTTTCCTGCGGGTCTGGGGAGACGGCCCCGAGTCGCCATCACTGCAATCTGGGCTCAGGGGTGTGGTCAAGATGCTGGGAGGCAGGGGACACTCCCTGAGTTGAGAGGCATGTCGGCATCACCCCCGTCTACCTAGAAAGGCCGCCCTGCTGGGATCAGGGGAAGACCTTACCTGTACTGGCGGTCAGAGTGGTGCTCATGGTGGTGGAGGGGGTGATGGGGGAGACAGAGGTGGTGGTGGCGGGTGTTGAGGGGGACAAGGTTGTTGGGGTGTGCTCGCACACGCCGAAGTGCTTCTCCACCGTCCCGTTGGGGCCACAGATCTCCCAGTAGCAGAAGGGGCTGTCCTTCTTAGAGGTGATAATCTTCCCTGGGGGGAGGCCGACGTCAACACGTCAGGAACAAGACAGAGACTCACAAGGCCCTCCTCAGCCTGTCCCAATAAGGGGAAGACTGGTTTCCCCCACCTCCAACCACTGGCAAACCAGCGCCCGTCAGGACCCCATTCCCAGAATCCTAAGTGGTGCCCATCAGGACACAGAAGCTACACCACAGATGGGGCATCTGCTCCCCATCAGGAGAAATACAAACATTTCAGGTGAGCCCGAGGGGCTGCTGCAAATCAGAGGCACATCTGAGCTGGGAGGGCCCCAGGGAAGCCACACGGAAGAAAAGGGGGAGGGGAAGGGGAGAATGACCCCAGCACAGCCCAGGAGGACGGTCCAGGGGCGGGCAGCTTACCTTTTTCTTCCTGGCAGACAACTTGTGAGGAGTTGTTACACACACTGAAAAGCAAGAGCAAGGCTGCAGGCCCGAGGAAACCCTGGCCTCTCCCAGCCGCCTCTGCCACCGGCCCAAAGCCTCAGGGCGCTACCCCAAAGGCTGAGTCCAGGAGCCCCCGCCTGGGTTCCCGCTGTGGGCAGAGAGGGAACGAGGCAAGGGGAGCAGAAGGAAGGAGGACCCACTTCTCCCCTCCCCCTGGTTCCTGTGTGCGTGCGGCCATGTGTCCACATGCGTGTACATGAACAACACTGTGTGCCAGTGTGTGTGCGTGGATGTGGGTGCGTGTGTACGTGTGCACTGGTCTCCCCCGGGGCCCCTGCGACGTGAGCTTAGATACCAAGAGTAGCAGATCTTCGAGGGCACAGACTCTCCAGGTGCGTAGTGAGTGCCCGTCACGTAGCAACCACATTTGTCCCGTGTGACACACTTCTTCAGGTCCTCGTCATAGATGGGACTTTCCTTAGGGCACCGGGGGTAGCAGCCTGGTGGGCACAGGGCACTGGGCTTGGACCGGCACAGAGGACCCCACATCCACCAGACCCTACCCATCTTCCCCACCCTGGAAGGTCCTCTTCTCCAGATGTCCTCTGGGAAGGCAGGGGCCCGGACACCGCCCCCTTCCTGGGGCCCTGACACGGCCCTGTGGCCAAAGGGACAGCCAGGCCCCGCCCAGCCTCCTGGGGGGCACGCCCACTGCTCCCTCCCCAGATCTCCGTGCTCTCGACTCACAGACGCTGCAGAGGACTCCCTAGCCCCCACCTCGCCCTCTTCTGCTCTTTCCCCACAGCAGCTTCGCCCCCAACCTCACATGGTCTCCTGACCTTACGTGGCATGTTAAGCTGCCCCTTTTCTGCCTCTCTCCTCTAGGGCGGGGTCTTGACTCAGGCTCCCAGCCCACTGTCAGCGCGGCGAGCCTGGCCCACCCTGGCACGCAGGGTCCCGGGCCCCACAGGGCGCCTCACCCTCCAGGTGGGACACGGAGATGTTGGAGTGAACGCCACTGATCGTCCTGCACGTCTCAAAGCTGTGGTTCCCGCAGGGTTCGTAGTGCCACTGACACTCGTTCGGGGGGTTGTAGTAGTCACAGAATATGGCTGGGGGAGGGGGGAGGGGGGTCAGGCTTGGGGAGGGCCGAGGCCGGGCGGGGGAGGCAGGGAGGGGGCCACAAACACCCCATCCCCCGGTGCAGCAGCCTCCGGCCCGCCACACTGGCACCCCAGGTCCAGGACAGGCGGGCACTCACGGCACAGCTCGGGCGTCCTCCAGAACACACAGGCCCCCTCCTTGGTGCACTCTTGGGCGTAGGCGGCCACAGCAGAGCAGAAACACTCACAGTCCCCGCCCGTGTCGCAGGAGCACGAGTCGTGGACACAGGCTTCGTAGAAGGGCTTGGGGTCCACCTAGAGGAGGAGCCTCCATGTGCCCGGTGTCTACACTGCCCTCATGCGGACAGGCCTTCCCCTGTGGCCCAGGAAGCTTGGGACCCCGAGGTCGACTCTGCGCCCGGGACAGGGTGTGGTCACCCAGCCCTAGCCCCCCAGTGGGGCTGTCAGGGGAGGTCCAGCGACGGTTGCCCAACCCTGCCCACCTCCCCCCACCACTGCCGGGAGCTAAGGGCCATCTGGGCCTCAGGGATTTGTGTCCTTTCTCCCTCCCTGGAAGGTCCAGAGGCCGGGGGTCCAACCAGGGGTCTCAGAGGGAAGCCTGGACCTCTGGTCACGTGTCCAAAGGACACAGAAGATGGAGCTGAAGCTGGAGAACAGATGGCACAGGCTGACGCAGCCGGGAGACCGCCCCGCCCTCAGCCCCACCCTCGGCCCTGCCCGCGCCCACTCCCCGCCCACCTTGCTGTGGCAGACCCCGAAGACCGGGCCCTTGATGATGCTGCACTGCTTCTGGGCCCAGGAGCGGCGGTGCGGCCTCAGGGCGCACGGCTCGGGGGTGGCGCTCACGTCCGGACAGGTGGGGGCCTCCTTCCAGCTGTTCCCGAAGTCCAGCTCACTCTCCACCACCATGTGGTCCCGCGTGGTGAAGTCGTTGCTGGATCGCTGGTCAAAGTTCCCACACAGGCCACACACAGTGCCCTGCAGAGACAAGCCGGCCGGGGGCTTTGCCAGGGGGCTCGCAGGCGGGAGGGGCTGGCCGCTCATGAGCCTGGGAGGCCCGGGGGGAGCATAGGCACAGACTGGCTGATGGGCAGGCGGCTGCGCACCTTGTAGGAGGGGGCGAGCTTGATGAAGACGCTGGTCCTCTTGTCCCAGATGACGACGATGCCAACGCTAGCCTCCACCACCAGGTACTGGCCCACTTCCCGCGTGGTGTAGGCCACATGGTGGCCCACATCACGCTGTATCACCATGCGGTGTTTGTCCTCCAGCTTTAGCTCCGTCCTCTGTGCCCAGGGGAGAGGCCCCGTCACTGGCCGAGTCTGAGGGTCCCCAAGGGACCATGCGTGCCCAGGGGAAGGCAGCACTCACCCCCAGGAAGATCTTGATGGCCTTGGAGCAGGTGACGCCCGTGGTGCCACAGGGGACATTCTCAGTGATGACACTGAAGGAGCCCAGTGAGGAGTTCTGGCCACAGTAGTCCTGGGGGCCCACGGGCACGTGAGCCAGGCCGGCCCGGCCATGAGGGTCCTGGGCACCTCCCCCAAGCTGGGCCTGGTCGAGCCTCAGCCCCTCATCTGTTGAGAGGGGCCTTAACCCCCCAAACACACACGCCCCTGTGCACCCCACACCCCCGAAATCCACGGGAGGGTCATGGAATGGGAGGGCCAAGGAAGGGCTCCCGTCCTGCCCCAGACCCCCTCCACTCGGAGCCTCCTCACTGGACTGGGAGCAGCCCAGGGCCAGCAACGCAGGGGCCATGAAGCAGAGGCAGGCTCTGGCCATGCCCTTGGCCTCACCTGAACGGCCACGTAGGAGCAGTGTCCATCAAAGTCATAGTACTTCCCATCGAAGGTGATGTAGTGGCTGTTCCCGTAGATGGCACAGGTGCCGTGGCACATGGACTGGGTGCATGCCCAGCGCCCTTTCTGGCAGGTGCTGAGGAGAGCGAGATGGGGGGCCTGGAGGGGCTGCAGGGGCCCAGGTCCCCCACCCCTGCTCAGCGTGTACCCTGGCGCTGTGCGGAAAGCCCCCCAGCAGCTCACAGAGCACACCTCCAGGCCCTCCTATCCCAGCGCTCACCCAGGCCAGGGCCCTGCCAGCCAGGTGGGAGGCCACGGGGCCCTGCAGACCCCGGCCAGCCCCACGGAGGAGAACCCCGTGGAGGAGGCCTGTGGTCCAGGGCCGGCTCCCCACGGAGTGCTTGGGGGTCGGGGGCCAGGGTGCTTACCAGGTGTTGCAGTCCACCCTGATCTTGTCCCCGGGGGAGTACAGGTCCTTGTTGTGCACACACGGGCACGCCTCCTCCACCACGCAGCCACCCCGGCCATCGTCAATCAGCCCCTCAGGGCACACGCAGCCACTGATGCACTCCGTCTGGTACTGGCGGGCGGTTGGAGAGCGGGGTTCGGGGATCAGGTGCCGGGCCCAGGGTGGCTGGCCCCTCTTCTGTTGCTGCAGACACCCCTCGTGCCCCGCCCCCCCCCCGACGCTTGACGTCTCTCCCTGGTCCAGCCTCCGGAGCCCTGCCCCCGGGCTCACCACTGGGCTGGGAGACGGGGGAGAGCAGCCTGCCAGGGGCCCCTACACTGGTCCCTGTGCCCTCAGCGGTCTGGGTGGGGACCCACAGGTGGCCACCTCCCCCGAGGAATGGGGAGGGCCGGCGAAGCGCATGTGTCCAGAGGACCTAGGGCCCAGAGCCGCAGGACCGGTCGTACGGGAGCCCGCCTGCACCCCCGTCCACAGCGCCCCCGCCCAGCACGCACGTAGCCGGCAGCCAGCGTCTGGCAGCTGACGGGCCTGGGGTTCCGGGTGGCCAGCGCCGTCAGGTTGCTGCAGTCGACGTGGATCTTCGGGGCCGTGCAGCCTGCGGGACAGAAGGGGCCACCTCAGCTCAGGTGAAGTTGGGTGGGGGGCTCGCGCAGGCGATGAGGGCGGAGCAGGGTGGGGGGCGGCAGGCCGTGCACAGGGCAGCAGCCACTTACGCTGGTAGGGCTGCTTGACCCGCAGGCAGTGCAGCCTCCCGTTCCGGCAAACGCTGTGAGGGAGAGGTGGGGGTTGAATGGGGCCCTTCGGGGGCGGGCCCAGTGGCTCTGTGGGACTGGGCGGGGGTGTGGGCACCCCCAGCAGAGCCGGCCCTCCCTCCCCAGCCCCAGGCCACACACCATCGCTCCTCCTGCCTCAGGATGGCCTCCCCCGCCTCCAGGTAGAGGCCATGGTGGTAGCAGGAACACTTGGCCAGGGCCACGCAGCGGCCCTTCTCGTCCAGGAAGGTGTGGTCGGGGCAGCCGCAGCCGTCCACGGGTGCGAAGCCCTTGACACAGTGAGCGTCAGGCTCAGACAGCGAGCGGCAGGTCGGCTGGCAGGTGGTCAGGTTGTACAGGAAGACCTGCGACCTGGGGCAGGAGCCCACGTCCTTGTCTGCAGAGGGGAGGGGCCGGCCTGAGGGGCAGGAGGACGGCCCGCAGCTCCCTTCCCCGAAAGCCAGCCCCGAGCCCCACGTCTGGCCAGGACACCCACCCAGCCAGGGGGCCAACGAGGGCAGTCACCCCGGGACCCCTGGCCACACAGGTGCCCCAGCCCCCCCCCCCACGCACCTCCCCTCTGAGCTAAGGCATCGTGGCCACAGTTCCAGGCCCCTCCCTGCAAGCAGAGTGGCCCAGGGCAGGTTTCCTGCTGCTTCCTAGCCGAGGAAGCTGGGAGTGAGGTCGCCCCCCTGCACCCTCAACCCTTGACGGCCAGGGCGAGCTGCCACCTGGGACAGCAGCGACCTGGAGGCCGGCCCGGGCCCAGGACACCTGGCACTCACTGCAGACGCGCTCCCGCCAGCCCCACAGCATGACGCCCTTGATGGCGCAGGCGCGGGCATAGGAGGCCAGGGCCGCGCACATGCAGTCCTCCGTGCTCTGACAGTTGCACGTGTCGTATTTGCACCTCTGTGGGGGCAAACAGGGCAGTGAACGGGGAGAGCTGGCTGGGAGACATCACGCCCGTGTGAGCACACAGACACGCAGCATTTACGCACATGCACACACACACCCGGCTATACAAATGTGCTGTGCTCACACACACCCAGCTATACACATGAGCTGTGCACACACACCCAGCTATACACATGAGCTGTGCACACACACCCAGCTATACACATGAGCTGTGCTCACACACACCCAGCTATACACATGTGCTGTGCTCACACACACCCAGCTATACACATGTGCTGTGCACACACACCCAGCTATACACATGAGCTGTGCTCACACACCCAGCTATACACAATGTGCTGCACACACACGCAGCCGTTTCCCACAGGAGCCTCGCAGGCAGCGGGGAGGGGGGTGCCTGTGTGGGCCCACCCACCTTGTAGTACTCGGCTGGGTCCACGGCAGAGTGGCACTTCCTGAACGGGCTCTCTGTCTTCTTCAGCAGGGAGCACCAATGCTCAGCATAGTTGGCTGGAGAGGGTTCAGCCCGTCAGTGCGGATGGCCCCTCCAACAAGTCCCCCAGGTCACGCTGCCCAGCCGCCCAGGCTGGAGCAGACACTGTCCCCTCGGTGGACTGAACCCAGGCCCCTCCTTTCAGGGCAGGTCAGCACAGGACGGTGCCCCTTTGTAAGGCAAGGGCTCCCACCCCTCTCCTCTCTCCACCTCGTGGACGTGGCAGGTGACCTGGCAGGTGTTAGGGTGTCCTGTCAAGGCACCAGGCCAGCCCCCGGATGAGGGCCACCAGCCTGCGATTAGTAGCCCCGGCCCCTCTGCCATGTCACTGGGCAGGCTGCCACCGTGGGCCACCATAAACCAGCCGCAAGGCAGACAGCAGCAGGTGGACGGCTGGCTCTGTTGTCTCCACACTACACCCGCCCACCACGTCCCACCAGGAGCCCTGTGTGCACAGGGCCAGCTCCCCAGCGGCCAAGCCTCACCGCTCTCGATGTTGAGGGAGCAGGGGTCATCCAGCCAGTCCAGCTTGTCACGGCAGCTCGACTGGGCCTTCCAGGTGTTGGCGAAGCCGGCGCCCGTGGCCTCCACCAGCCCACCGGCCGTCCTGAAGTCGTCACCTTCAAGGCCGTTGAAGTTCCCGCAGAGGCCTGAGGGGCCGGGACAGGGTTGGGAAGTGTCGGGGGTCAGAGTGCGCAGGCCCGAGGGTGGCCTGCATGGGGGGCGCTGGGCGGGGCTGCTCACCCTTCACCAGCCCCTGGGCGGCATGGTCCAGCGTCAGGAAGAGCTGCATGACCGGCACCAGCTGGACCTGCAGCCTGAGGCCGAAGGCGGTGGTCACGACGATGTGGTGGGAGGACGGTTGAAAGATGGAGAAGCTTGCTGCAAGGCAGGGGAGGTGAAGGGCCGTGGAGGGCTCGTGGGGAGGGCTCCCCTCCTTTCCCGTCCCCCTCCCCCGTCTCCCTCCCCCCTCCTCCCCCCACCCCGCCCCCTCCCCGGCATGGGCGCCCTGGAGCTGGACTCACCCGTCACGTGGGGCAGGTTCACCTGCAGCTCATTCAGCAGGACGCTGCCATCCAACTTGAAGGCCACCACCTGTGGGCAAGGCCGAGTGTACACGGGGGCTGAGAAGGGCCTTGGGGTCCCCGGGGGTGCTGGGAGGGCAGGGGGCAGGGGCACCCACGTTCTTCTTGTTGTCAGCCAGCAGCACCACCGTCTTCAGGCAGGTCTGCTTGTCGGTGGAGCCGCAGGGGGTCAGCTCACCCAGGACGGTGTAGGAGTCGTTGTGGGTGTCCTGCGGGGAGGGCAGAGGGCGTTGCAGCCACACAGCGGGTGGGGCAGGGGTCCAGCTCCACCCACATGCCCACCCGGGTGCCAGCCACCTTGGTCAGCACGTAGTAGCAGTCCCCGTGGAACGTGTACTTCCTCTCGTCGAAGGTGGTGATATGGGCACCGCCCTCCAGGGCACACGTCCTGGGGCACTGCAGGTCCTGGCACACCCAGCGGCTGGCATTGCAAACACTGTAGGGCAACAGGGCCAGGGTCAGGCTCGACCACCACCCCTGCCCTCTGGGACCCTCAGCCCACCTGGACCGCAGCCCGTCGGGACCCCAGCCCCGGGACGCACCACTGCTCGCAGCTGTTGGTGATCTGTCGGCCAGGCGCGTACAGGTGTCCACGCAGCTTGCAGTGACATTCGTTCACAGGGATGCAGCCGCCACCCTTGATGTCATCGTACACAGTGCCTGGGACAGCGCGGGACATGTTCCATTCAGCCGGCCCGAACAGTGCCAGAGTCCCCCCTGGTGGGGCTGCCGTTTCCAGGGCCACAGCCAGGGGCCGGCCTCCCTGAAGGGGCGCTGCCAGCCAGGCCTCCCAGCCACAGACACCTATGGTCCTTTGGGGGACAACTGTGGTCCCCACACTGTATCAGAGGGACCTGCTTCCAGGCTCAGAGCCACGGGCCAGGCAGGACGAGGTCTATCCACGGGTGATGAGCAGGAAGGTGACACTGCTGTGTGTATGTTGGGGAGTCTTCAGCCCTTATAGCCCTTCTACCTGGACCTTGTCCCCTGATGTCCCTGCAGGGCCCCGAGCTGTCACTCTCCCTCAGCACGGCTGAGAGCCGAGGCCCAGGCAGCGAGGCGGCCGTCCCACCAGGCACAGGCGGCGGGTGGCGCTTCAGGGCAGCGCTCTCCACTCCGCTGCCTGCGTGCGTCCCCAGCACTCACCTTCCGGGCAGAAACAGCCGTCCATGCGATGTTCCTCACACAGGCTGCTGACCTCCAGGTGTGAGCAGGTGTCCATGCAGGGCGAGCCGCTCTCCAGGTAAACCATGTTCCCGGGGCACCTCTTAGCTGGACAGGCAGAGGCAGGCCCCTGAGCCGAGGGGCAGAGCGCAGCGGGCGCCACGAAGGGTCCGTGCCGGCCTCGCGCCCCGGCTGAGCTGGGCACAGCATGGCTCCCAGTCCAGGGCGCAAAGGGCACCGCGCTCCCCGCGGATCATGCCCCACGTGCCCCCGGCTCCTGGCCGCGCGGCACTTACGGCAGAGCGAGGCGGTCCTCCAGTTCCGCGGCCTGCCGCCGGCGTGCGAGCACTGGCGGGAGAACTCGGCGATGGTGCTGCAGACGCAGGAAGTGCCATGCGGGCACTGGCAGCGGTCCTGCATGCAGGCCTGCACGTGCAGCTCCAGTGGCACCAGGTCCCGGCAGTCCTCGAAGGCCGTGTCTGTCAGCAGCCTCTCGCACTCGGCGCGCTGGCGGGCAGTGGGTGGGGCTGCTCACGGCCTCCTCTCCCCTCCGCGCCACCGGGGCAGGCGCGGGGTCCCCAACAGAGGCCAGCAGGCACGGCTCTGGGGGGAGGTGCAGGCTCTGCTCCCACGGCCCCCTCCCCCCCGAATGGCCAGCGACTCACATGCTCAGAGCAGGACGCGGGGGTCGGCACCTCCTGGGGGTCCTCGCACACCTCCTCAGGCTTGTTCACCTTCTGCATGTTCCCAAATTCGATGGGACTGAAGAGCACGCCTGGGGGGGCACAGCCGTTCAGCGGGGCCGGGCGGGGAGCCTGCCCGCAGCCCAGCCGCCAAGGCCCGAGGAGGACCTCACCATCGGAGAGGAACTCAGAGTAGGTCTGCAGACCGTTGTAGTCACCACAGAGGCCACACGTGTGGTTCCGGAACTTACTGTCCAGCTCCAGCTGTCCGGGGAAGGGAGACAAGTGAGCAGGCCGTGGGGCAGCCAGGTCAGCCTCAGAACCCTGCCTGAACACGTGTCAGCCGTGGTGGGAGAGCTGGGGTTAGCTGGGGGGAGGGGGCGGGGGAAGGGGCAGGGCCAGCACACCACCCCGGGCCAGAGGGTCCCCTCACGGGGTGGACCACCTGACCCCCGCTCTGCCTCCAGCCTCTCCACCCGCCCAAAGGCCACACAGTGCCCCAGCCCGCCCAGAGCCCCCTCTTGGTCCCCTGGGGTCCCCGAGGCCCGTGACACACCATGACCGAGTCCTCCCGGTTCCACATGAGCGTGAGGCCAGCACGGGAATAGACCTTGGTGTAGGCGTCATTCTTCTCGATGAGCAGCCCCGGGCTGTAGTGCGGGCTGCTGACCCTGGGGGATGGGCACCGGGGTCATGCCGGCCCACGCAGCACCCACGTGGCAGAGGGCCTGAGGCTGTGGGCGTGGGTGGGGTGGCCGGCTCCCGTCCGGGAGCCACAAGCAGTGTGGCCACCCTCTGGGGGCACTCGAGCCGTGGCCCAGCCCCTGTCCACCTGCCTGGCTAGGTCCTTTGGGCTGGGCCACACCCGCCGGCCCAACGCCCTCTCCACACCCCCTCCCTGGGCTCTGCTCTGGGCAGGGCCCCCAGGGAGCCCGTAAAAGCCCTGGGAGGAGGGAGGACCAGGCTGGAGAAGCCCCACCCACCCCATCGCCCAGGGCAGGCGCTGTACCCACCCCACGCTGCCCCTGTGGGCCCTGTTCCGGCCCCCTACTCTGAGCCTGGGCTTCGGGGAATCAAAATCCCTTGCAGCAGGGGAAGGGCAAACCCTGCAGGTGGGGACCCCCCTGCACCCCACCCCCTGCCCGCCCGGGGCAGGAATGAGCTCAGGGCCCCTTTGTTCCTGAGACAACGCAGGACAACATGGGGGAAGGAGGAACGGGCCTCCCGTGGGCTCCTGTAACCCTAGCCTGGGCTGCCAGGCCACCCTGCCCAGCACGGTCCAGCCCAGAGCCTGGTGGGCTGCCAGCAGCGGGGCTGGAAGAGACTCACTGGTTTAATAAAGCTCCCTCCCCAACACTCTCCTTCTTAGCCGGCGGGGCAGTGGGGGGAGGTGGGGGGGAAGGGAGGGCAAGCGGGGGCACCGGCCAGGTCTCGCTTGCTCACAGGACGTGGGAAGGGACACTGCCTGACCACTCACAAGGCGCCGTTCACCACAGCGAGCTGGCTGGTGAGGTAGATGGCATCACCCTTGACGGTCAGCAGGATGTACTCGACCTGGGGGTGGCCCCCACTGCGGCCGGGGCCCCGTTTCAGGTGCACAGCGAACTCCTGGTAGGTGTCCCGGCAGTCAGAGGCGAAGTTGTAGTCGCACAGCCCGGGGAAGCGGAAGACGTCTCCGTCGAAGGTCTTGTAGTGGGAGTCGCCCCACGTGCTGCAGACGCTGTGGCCGTGGTTCCGGGTCCTGCCTTCTGGGGCGCAGCAGGTGGGCACGTGAGCAGCCCATGTCGCCAGGAAGCCCGTCCGTCCGAGGCTCTGGCCTGGCAGCGGCCCTCTGAGGACCCTTCAGAGGCGCCCCGCAGCAGCTCAGAGCCCGTCGGGGTCTCGGCCCAGGCCCCAGGGAGGGTCGCCCTGCGGGGGTCTTCTGCTGGACACTGGCCACCCCATCCACGCAGTCTCAGCCCCCTGAAAGGGCGTCTCCAGCTGCCGCGCCCTCCCACCCTGACCCTGCGGGGGATGCGGCTGTGTGCTGAGCGGGGAGCAGGGCCAGAGGGGCTGTCGGGCTCCCTGGCGCCCTGTCAGCCTGGCCCAGCTCCCCACCCCGGTCTCCACCACACTCCGTCCATCGACGCCCCAGCCAGCACCCCAGCCCCGCTCCAGCCGCCCCTCATCCCGCAGAAGATCTGTGCCAGACCCCTCAGAGGGAGCCTGCGTCATGTTCATCCATATGGGGCCAGCTCCCCCTTCCCCCAGCCCCGCCACCACCCTGTCCCCAAATGCCCTGCTGGGACAGAGATGTCCCCATCCTACATCTGCATGGTCTTCTCTGGCTGAAGCCACCCCTTGAGCAGAGACCCATGAAGGGCCCAGCTTGGTCTTGACCCCCAGTCCCGGTACTGATACAGGACTGGGGGCCTCCCCTGGCCCAGCCCCTCCTGGCAGGCCCCTGCCTCCCCTAGGCCCACAGGCAGCCACCCAGACCGGTGTGTCCGCCTGGGACTGTCCCCTGGATACACACTCTGGCCAGGCAATCACCTTCAGAAGCATGGTGGGAACCCAAGACCCCCTTCCTCCCTCCCTCCCTCCCTCCCTTCCTTCCTTCCTTCCTCCCTCCCTTCCTTCCTTCTTTCCTCCCTCCCTTCTTTCCTTCCTTCCTTCCTTTCATCCCTCCACCCAAAGTCAGCAGGGGTGGGGCTGCAGGAGGCCTGGCCCACGCTGTCCACCCCAAAGCCCGGGCCGAGGGAAACACCTCTACCCCAGGCAGGACCATGTGCCCTGGGCCGCCCGGGCTTCCTGCCCGCACCCTCTCACCTCTCCGGAGCTCTGAGCCCCCGGCCCAGGTCAGAGTCAGGCAGAGGGCCACCAGGAGGGCTAGTGGCAGCCCCATGGTGGCCAGAAACCTGGTGTGGGAGAGCGACCGGGGCAGGGGTCTGGGCCTTATATGGCCCCGCAGAGCCGTCGGAGGGTGGGGAGGGCAGGGGAGGGGCGAGGGGTGGGTGGGGCATCTGCCAGATTGTCAGGAAAGCAGCTGCGGGGGCTCCGAGGGCCCTGGTGGGGAAATATTGATTCAGGTTATCTGAGGTTTATTTTTTATTGCTCCCGGGGTAGAGCTGGCTCTGCCCAGAATGTGGCAGCCCCAATTACCCGATTCCAACACACACCCAAGGCGGACCTCCGTCCCTCCCAGCCACTAGCGGAACCAGGCCCGGGACAGGGAGGACCTGGCCCCCCATTTTTTTAATGTGGAATCTAATTTTTTTTTTTTTTTTTTTTTTTGGCTGCGTCGGGTCTTTGTTGCTACACGCGGGCTTTCTCTAATTGCGATGAGCGGGGGCTACTCTTGGTTGCGGAGCTCAAGTTTCTCATTGCGGTGGCCTCTCTCGTTGCGGAGCACGGGCTCTAGGCGTGCGGGCTTCAGTAGTTGTGGCTCACGGGCTCTAGAGCGCAGGCTCAGTAGTTGTGGCGCGCGGGCTTAGTTGCTCCGCGGCATGTGGGATCTTCCCAGACCAGGGCTCGAACCCGTGTCCCCTGCATTGGCAGGCGGACTCTCAACCACTGCTCCACGAGGGCCATCTGGAAGCACATCCTGGCAGCCAGCAGGCTCCCCGAACCCCACCCCACCCATTCAGCATCTCTGGCACGGCGAATGTCAAATGGGGTGCCTCCCAAGGGGCCCCGACGAACTACTGCCTGGTGTGGGCTCCCACTCTGGGGGCCTGTCGGAGACCTCCTGGACCTCAGCCTCCCCAGCCAGGGGCCCGAGCTCCGGGTCAGGATAAGGGGGCCCCTGCTCTCCCTGAACCCCGCTGCCGAGGCAGGGAGGGCATGGGCTCCTGTGGGGTCCAGGGGGTGCCCCATTTCCGCACCAATTCCTTCCCATACCTCGTTGAGCTCGGTCAGGGGCCCCCGGCTCCGGCCCACCCTCTAGTCCCCTCCTTTCCCAGGCCAAGCCAGCCTCTGGAATTACATGTAATTGGAACTTGGGGAGCCCAGCCAGGGGATGCTTTAACAGAATCACATCCTCTGGGACACAGGGCACCTGGCTCGAGGCTGAGAGTAACCGTCCCCAAGGGGAATGGGGCCGGGGCCGGACACGGGCACGGCCTGGCAGGCACAGGCCCGGCCCTGCAGCCTCCCCAGGACGGTGGGGAGAATCAGGGAAGAGGGTGGGGCAGCCACGCAGGTGCTCCCGGGCCGGGCCTCTGGTGGGAAGAGGGTCCTGCCCCAGAGAGGAACTATGGCCTCCAGGGCATCTCAGACCCTCCAAGTGAGCCCGAGCATGTCTGGAAATGCCTTGAGGACGTGGCATTTGAGCTGCGCTGGCCCCAAGCCTTAGCAACCTCTACGTGGGCACCCATGTCGCTGGTGGGTAAACCGAGGTCGGGGCCTCCCCTCCCTGCATTCCTCCATTCTGAAAACAAATGTGCATCTTGAATTCGGCTTTTGACTTTGGCCAGCGCAATTGTGGAGAACAGCTCTGATGGTCGGGGGGCCTCGGTCTCCAACCTCGGGACCCCTGAGTTTCAGGGGCGAGTGGGAGAGGTTCATCTCAACTGTTACTCTGGACAAGGGGGCTGCCCGGTGGTGGGGGCCATGGGACCCTGAGTCCGGCGCCCCTGCAGAGGCAGTGACCAGAAGCTGGGGCCTTGGCCTGGCACCTCCCGGGGGCCCTTCCTCTGCAGACAGGCCCTCCACACCACTGCAACAGCACCCAGGGCCACGAGCTCTGCTCACAGCACCTGACGATTCCTGGGTTCCCCGAGGAGCCAAGACATCAAAGGACGGGTACCCCCAGGGTCAAAGAGAGTGACTGGGAGCCATGGTCCCCAGGCCTGACCCTCCTGGGGGCCTGAGGTAAAGCCCCTCATCCTGTCCTGCTGTGCTGCCAGCCCCAGGCCCAGGGACCCAGGCACGTGGGGGACAGCGATTGGCTCGAGCCAGGAGGATCAGGGATCAGGCAACCAGAGCAGCTGGCCCAGCAGGCCCATCGTGCCACTTCCCGTGGGGCTTGCATGGGCTGGCACTGCGCCCTGGGGAAACCCAAGGACAGGGCCCCCTCTGCGGCCCCCAGGGGCAGTGATTTTCCATGCCAGGCTCCCTCTGCCCTGGTGGGAATCAGAGATTCCTGGCCAGAGACAGGACGCGCAGCACAGCCCCGAGTCTGAGAAGGTGGGGTCCTCCCTGGGGTCTGAGAAGGTGGGGTTGGGTCCCCCCTGGGTCTAAGAAGGTCAGCCCCATGGACCCTCTGGGTGGGGAAGCCGGTGTCCCAAGGCCCACACCCTTCTTGGCACAGACGCAGGTTCTCGGGTGGGACCCGTGAGCAGTGCCATCAGGCGCTCAGACTGGGGTGGGCATGAGAGGGCAGGAGGGACGGGGCTGGCGAGAGGAGATGGGGAGGGCTTGGGGGCCCCATGTGACCTCTGGTCAGTCTCCCGGCCGCTGGGCAAACTCAGTCATGGCGGGTCCCTAGCAGGTAAGTCCCTGGAAAGTACCTGACTAGGACACCTGAGTGCTTAGACATGTCCATCCATCCATCACTTTAATTGTTGTGGATGCAGGAGGAGGCCCCTCGGCCTGTGACACTCCACTCAGTGCGCTGGAGCCCCGTTCCCGCCCTACTGGGACCCCCACCCTTTACTGAAGCAGAGTTGAGGAAACTTCCCGGCATCCCTCTGTGACAAGGCTGTGACACCCGAAGACCACCAGGACACCACTCTGGCCAGCCAGAGTCGGGGGCTGCTGAGGGGGCTGACTGCCTGCCCACCAGTCAGGTGGACCATCCAGGGCACAGACCCACACACACACACACGCACAGCGGCCTGGGCAGCCCCGGGCCTCCCCCCGCCAGGCCCCACACCCAGCAGTGTTTACCCCAACAGGACACTGTTCCCAGGACTACAGTCTCGGGAATCACAGTCTTGACCGCAGGGAGGAGGCCACTGAGACGTCACAAAACGCAGCCTAAAACAACTGGCCACGGCGATCTGTCCACAAACCCTGCCTCATCAGGAAGTGGGAGGGCAGGGAAGGGGGGCAGCGGGGGGGGGGCGACTCATCGGGCAGTGGGAGGGAGGAAGGGTGGAGGGGGTCTGTGAAAGAACAAGGATCTATATGTGTAGACCCTTCTCAGACCCTGGGCCCAACCCCAGGCCGTCGGCTCCGGTGGTCCGACCTCGGTGGGCAGATGGAGGGTGTGCCCAGGGAAGCCGTGGGTTCCTAGCCCTCGGGACACCCAAGGGAGCCCACAGCCCCAGCCAGCCACCGGACAGAGTCCCCGGTAGGTAAGTGTCTGAGGACTCGGAGGCAGGCAAAGAGAACACCAGCCATGCCCACCGCCTCCCCATGTGCTCCCTGAGGCAGTGGAAAGGGTAACTCAGACCTGGCCAGCACCCTCAGAGGATCTGAAAGACCTGGGGATGTGCAGGCCCAGGCCTCATACCACCTCCCCTGGCCTGCAAGGGTTTACAGTAGGACATGACGTATCTGCCACCGCCATGCTTGAAGAATAGGCGGGTTAACACACAAAGGTGTTTGTTCCCGAGCAAGTGGGGCGGGGCCAGGTCAGCAGGCTCTGCTCCGCAGGGCAGGCAGGCACAGGCCCGGCCTCCTTGGGGGTAAAGGGCCACTGCACCTCAGGGGACCAGTCACCTTCCAGCAGTCATCCCCGCCTCGAGACCTGGTCCTTACACTGACCATTTTCCTCACCAACCTGGCTGCACTGTGTGACCACTGCTGGCCTTCAGGCTGTGAGCACCTTGAGGGCAGCAGCCTACGTGGGCTCCTCTGTGGGCTAGCGTCACAGTAGACACTCAATAACTTTGCTTCTGGGTAGGTATGTGGCTAGGTGGATGGGTGACTAGATGAGGGAATGAGTGGATGCATAGGTGGGTAAATGATGGATGGGTGGATGGATGGATGGGTGGGTGGATGGATGGGTGGATGGATGGGTGGGTGGATGGATGGATGGGTGGGTGGATGGATGGGTGGGTAGATGGGTGAATGAGTGGATGCATAGGTGGGTAAATGATGGATGGATGATGGGTGGATGGATGGGTGGGTGAGTGGATGGATGGGTGGATGGATGGATGGGTGGATGGATGGATGGATGGGTGGGTAGATGGGTGGATGGGTGGGTGGATGGGTAGATGGGTGGGTGGATGGATGGATGGGTGGGTGGATGGATGGGTGGGTGGATGGATGGATGGATGGATAGATGGATGGATGTGTGTGGATGGCTGGATGGGTGGATGGATGGATGGATGGATGGGTGAGTGGATGGATGGGTGAGTGGATGGATGGGTAGATGGGTGGATGGGTGGGTGGATGGGTAGATGGGTGGATGGATGGATGGATGGTTGGATGGATGGATGGATGGATGAGTGGATGGGTGCATGGATGGATGGATGGCTAGATCGATGGGTGAATGAGTGGACAAACAAACAAAATCTCTAGGAGGGGTGGGGTGTGCCTTTTGTAGTAGCTCCACAGGGCTCCCACCTCATGAGGGTTCATTGTGTTTGGGCAATGGCCAGGTACTCAATCACCGCCCCTTATCATTAAAGTCCCCCACAACCTTGGGAGGCAGGTGCTCACACTGCTTCATTCTAGAGACAAGGAAACCAATGATCGGAGAAAGTGAAAGAGCCCCCTGAGCTCGCCCAGCCAGAGACCACTCACAGTGGTCCTCTCTGCCCCCAGCCCACGCTGTCCACCACTTGGCAATTGTGTGACCATTTTTGAAGAAGGTTGACGTTGTTCTTTGCGGAAACCAGTATGAGTAACAGAAAATCAGGTTCCTGGGTGGTGTCATAGCCCCAGGGGAGGAATCTGCTTCTCCTGCCTTCCTGGAGTGGTTCCCCAAGGACAGAGCACCTCCCCCCATCCCCCGCTTTTCCTGCCCGCCC